GTTGCTGTTACCCTGCGGCTACTATAGAACTGTAGACACCAAAAAACCCTCCAACCAGTCAGTCATACAAGGTAAGGAAGTCCAGCTCTGAGTATCCTGTGGGCTGGACACAGGAGCTCACGACAATGAGCAGCTGTCTTCGAACCACTTGAGGTGCTGTCATGGTGGACAGAAACCAAATGGATGGAGACAATGACATTTATTCTCTTATAGCCCTGGAGGTCGAGAGTCCAAAACCAGATTCACTCAGCTATCAGCCAGGTGTCCACAAGCTGCTTTTCTTGGATGCTCTGGGGGAAATTCTATTTCCTTTCCTTTTCCAGCTCATAGTGCTGTTGTAGTCAGGGGTTTACAAAGAGAATAGCATGTAATTTATAGTGTATTTTATAACGATCACCCAAGGAGTCAAATACAAGGAAAGTGCAGGAGATCTGTCCACATGCTAAAGACCTAGAGAATGTAGCTGAGGGCCTGGATCCCATGGCAATAACCTGCCATGGGATCAGCTGAACACCCAGAGCCCATGACAGTGACCTAAGCAAGCACCTACCCGAGGCCCTTGGCTGGGAAGCCCACCTGCCTGTCCTCCACCTGTCCCTTTCATCACTCCTCTCATCTAACCCCAGCCACCTCCTTTGTGTAAGGTCAACTCGCCCACCCGCAGACACTCAGTCACACCTGCAGCACGTTTATTGCTGTCTTGGGCAACATTTTCAGTTCTGGGACTGGCAATGTGGACATCTGGAGACCATAACCCAGCCTCAGCCTCCCAGTGGGGAGCTGGTGTCCGTGCGCCTGGGAACGGCCACCATTTTCAGTGCACTCACAGAATTATGTGTAAATGTGTAACAGAGAAACTCCCTTGAATAAATCAATCTTTTAAAAAAAATTTTTTGGCACTGCTGGCCATTGAACCTGTAGGTAAACACCTGTCATGGTTTATGTCTGTGACATAAACTCAGGCCTCATGAGTTTGCATTGTGCATTTGTGATGCTTCATTGTCTAGTGCTTGGCTTGATGGTGTCAATGCTCCACCCACAAAAGGGTGAAGCTAGGATGTGATGTAATGGCAGGAAGAAGGTGTGTCTTGCTCTTTGCTGGTTCTGGCTTGCTGTTTGCAGCCACCATGAACTGCAGCCCAGCCATGCCTGCCTGTCTTGGAGCCAACTGAGTGTGGACTAAAACCTCCAAAAACTGTAAGAAATAAACCTTTCCTTTTCCAACTTTGGGCTTCAGGTATTTTGTCTCAGCAATGAGTAAAAAGTAACTAAGACAACACCAAGCCATAGGTCTAGCCCAAATCAGTTGCTTATTTTTCCTATACCCTGTCCCCATCCTTGGCTAATGTAATTTTATACAACTGCAATGAAAAGATTAATCTAATTTTCTGCTCTGCTTTTTTTCCCCACTTAACACACATTTTAAACTGCTCATAGCCTTGAGAAATTATTCACAATTATTCTGTCCTGTAAAAGAAGGACACATAAGGGTCTCCTGTTTAGTGTCAGGAATCCACAAAGTTTACCAGGAGCTCACAGGACTGGTTGCATCTGCAGGGCAGGGTCATTACCGAGGTTCTTCCCCCCTGGATTAGGCCCTGTGCCCCGGCCCCTTGTGGTCTTGCTCCTGGGATGGATAAACCTCAAGATGTTTTCAGCTGAGGGCTGAGGAAGAGAAGAAGAAATGAAATAGATGACAGGGCACACTAAACAGACACAAGCCTGTGTCTCCCTCCAAATTTCTTTGCTAGTCATCCAAGTCTAGAAGCCAAGCTATTAGCAGATTGCCGTGGTGGGTGGGAGCTCCGGCTTCTTGCATCCTGGAAAGATCTCTAGCTGAAATACCAGCTGCCTATGCCTCCCACAGAGAAGACTACAGCCGGCATAAAAAGTAGTCTGAAAGCTGATTCAATTCCTGTTCCTGAAAGTTATTTCGATTCTGTTGTTTCTCTTTTTAAACTCTATAAAGGTAAGGCTGAAACAAATTTTAGTTCAGTGGGGTGGGGAGAGCCAACTCCTGGGCCTGTGGTTTCAGTAATTAGCTCATGTGCTAATGAGAGTCTTCAGGGAGAACGGCATTAATTAATGGGTGAATTTCACTTTAATAAATGTATAGGCAATTTTCTGATGCAGATGGCACAGTCTGCCCTGATGGCTGTACCTAGAGCCACTCGATCTGATAAGTGTTGGAGGAAAGTGGTTAATTTGTAAAATGCCTCATGATCCTGATTAGACCAGAGATAATGCTGGTGTTCACTTTCCTATGCATTATTTGCTTCTCTACCGTCTGGATCTCTGGCCTCCTTGTTATATTCAAAGTGTCCCAAGGCTTTTTGTCTTCTCTATTGTCGTGAAATTAGAGCACTGTACCTCCAGGAAGGCTGGGGGACCTCCTGCCTCTGTGGGCTTTTTCTCTTGGTTTCTCATCTCTGGCAAGCCCTTTATCTTCTGTCTCTCTCTCAGCAGCGAGAAAGGGCTTGAACATGGTCCCCACCAGACCATGGCACCGTCATGGTCATCATAGCAACAGATGCCGGAAAGTCCTCATTGAAGTTCTAATTTGTTAGTAGTTGGTTACAGGCATTTAAACACAGAAGTGATGATAGGAAGTTAAGGGAACAATGAATTCTTCCTTCTGGGTCAGGTTTGTCTTGCTTAGTGGACACATGAACACAGGGGAAAAGCAGGACTAGAGCTCCCATCTCAGGGCCTCCAGATTGCCTCTTGCCCTGGGATTCATGAAGCATTTGCTTGTGGACACCTGAGGGGAAGTCCTAACTATAATAAAACAAAATGCGCTGGATCAATGGGCTTTAAAAATTACAGTAAGTACAAGTTTACTACAACCATTTTCTTAACAATAAAATCTCAATTTATGAAAGCCATTAGTCAATCCTGGACCCATGGAAAATCCAATGCGATGGAAATGCATTGGCCTATGATTTAACTTTTAAAAATCAAAATGGGAAAGTATTATAAGACTGTTGCTCATGCTTAGGAGAAGAGATTCAGGACAGGATGACTTGTACCTGGCTTAACTCCTGGCTTTCTGGGCATCCTCACACTCATTGGAGCCACCGTCATGTACCTCACGCGTCTCCACTGATGTTCAGAACGTGTCTGAGGAATTGCATGAGTGACAATACAGGCTCCATGCTGCTTGTCCTTGTGTAACAGCTCTTGAGGGGAGGTAACCATTTTCCTCCTTATCCTACTCCTGCAATGCATTCTGCTAAATAAACCCGGAATCTAGCACAAAACTTCAGTACAACTGCAGCATCTGTCTGGGTCTGAAATCACTGACTTCTGAAAAAGAAAACTGGGTTAGAATTTGGAATTATCAAGGATTCCCTGTCCAAATGAGAAGGCACAGCCCTAGTGGGTTTGGGAGATTTCTTTAGAGCCAGATGAATAGAGCAGAGCAGAGTCCCGAGCCTCTTTCTGGACCGTGGAGGAAAGCAGGCAGAGGCAGTGAAGGTTTGCCTGTCTGCCTTCTCTTCCGCCAACCAACCACGTCGGGTGCACCCTTCAGGATCTGGGCGCAAATGCTCTGGAATCACTGCTTCAGTCTTGGCTGGAGCTGGTTGCTTTTCCCTGTTTTCTGTTGCTAGGCACCTGGGATGAAAGAGGTTTGTTTTTCCCGTGGTTCTGGAGGCCAGAAAGTCCAGCATCATGGTTCCAGCCTCCAGTGGAAGCATCGGCTGCTTCAGCATGGTGGAAAAGTAGGACAATCAGATGCCTGCAGAAGAGAGAATGACTTCACTTCATAGCGACCTGCCCTTGAGGTAATTTATCTAGTCTCAAGAGACTAAGACTCCAGTGAGGAGTGTGGCTCTGCTCCACACGTGAAAGCTCTATCCCTCAACTCAAGTCTTCCCAGAAAATCACTACATTGGGAATCAAATTTCAACACAAGGTTTTTTGGGTGGGCACCCATCCAAACTGTGGCACTGGGCTTTGGAGCGAGCAGGCTGCTGAATTTAGACTAAGGAAACAAAACTAGGAAAGCAAGGGAACTGGCATCACCAAATTAGGGCAATGCACCAGCCTCGCCAGGTGGGATTTACCTACTCACTGGGGATGCTTTCCCGATCCTTGGAGCCTTGGAAGGTGGGAAAATGGCAAGCCACACCTCCTTTATAACAAGCTAAGAAGACAAGTGTGTGCCTGATTTCCATACCATGAAACTGGCTATTGGAAGTTTGCACAGTTTGAATAAGTGTCCCCCGAAGGGTGAGTCCCCAGCCTACGGTGTTTAAGAGGTTGAGGCTCAGTGAGAGTTCTTCTGGTCACTGAGAGGGACATTAAAACTCTAGTCTCTTCTTCTCTTTCTTTTTTACTTCCTGGCCATGAGATGGGAAATTCTCTCCTACATGTGCTCCCACCATGATGTGCTGCCTCATCAAAGGACCACAAAGAACAGGAACAAATCAACCATGGACTGAAACCTCCTAAACCATCAGTCAAAATAAAGTTCTTTTCTTTGCAAGTTCAGGATCTTAGGCATTTTATGACATCAGTGGAAAGATGACTAGGTCAGGAGTCAGCCATTTTGGAAGCACTTAGAAAAATCCTTGCTAAGGTTTAGAAAAACAAGTACATGAAGGTCCAGGAGCAAGAACCCCGTCTTGGTTCCAGCTGGATGGTGTGCAGAGGTTCTGATGGGAATGAGGAATGAATTCTTCTGCCCTGCTATGCAACAGCCATGAAAGCACAGGATGGAGGGTGATCATTTATTGATGCACCATGGGGGCAGCGTTCAAACAGCAGGGAAATGCACAAGCCCAATCTGTAACTTCATGGATGTTCCCTTCAGTGATGTTCTGACCCATTCATTCATTCCACAGAACTTTAACTGACCCTTTCTTTGTTCAGGCACTTGTACTATAGATAAATGAACGAGAAAAGCTGATGCTATCTGTATCTGTCACCATGGAGCACATAGTCCAGCGGCAGAGAGCAGTTTTCTGTTACTGTAACAAAATACCCAAAATAGTCCATTTATGAAGAGGGAAGTTTTATTATGGTTCACAGAGAACAAGTGAGAGTGTAATCTCCACAATAAATGGGTTAGATGACAAGTACCATTCCTGCCTTGTGTAGCCAAAGCACCAGTTCTTTGACAGGGTAGATCTTGTATCCCAACCAAGTAGGTCAGTCCAGATGAGAGGAAGACCAGAATCCAGCTAGGATCGAGCCTGAGGACAGCAGAGAGACATGGAATGCGATTTCTGAAGTCAGAATGCCCTGGCTACTGTCCAGTCCCTGCTACTTAGCAGTCACGTGGCTGTGGGCAAGTAACTGGCCACATCAGAGTCTGCTTCCTCAGTTGTAGAACTTGCTACTGTGTCTACCTTGTAGACCACTGTGGGTCTCCACTGCCTACGACTGAGCAGGCAGAAGATGTTAGCTTAGCAGGAGTTCTCCGTGAGGAACCACGCACTGAAGGCAACACCACCACCCTGAGTGGCACAGAGGATCTGGTATCTGTGGGAGGAATATGGTAGCATCATTCAGAAAGTGAGGGTAACTCAGGCAGGAAGGCAGTGCACGGTGGTGGTCTGCAGCCACTGGAGCGGGGCTCTGACCCTGGGGCCGGTGCTAGGTCCTCTCCTACACTCCAGAGCAGTACGTTTGGGTTTGGAGAAGTGGAGAGTAAAAATGGTGTGAAGAGAGAACAGTCTGGTGCTATTATATTATATATTCTAAAATCACAAAGTTGCCGGGCGTGGTGGCTCATGCCTGTAATCCCAGCACTCAGGAGGCTGAGGCAGGAGGATTGTTTCAAGTTTGAGACCAGCCTGGACTAGAAAGTGAGCTCAAAGCCAGCCTGAACTGCATAGTGAAACCATGACTCAAAAAAGACAAAAAAATAATAATAATAAAATAAAATCACAAAGTTTTCCTAAATTTCCTCTCACCTTCAGGCAGGACAAACTCAGGTTGGGGTCACAGTCACCCCAGCACCCCTGCTTTTCAGTCTGCTGTTCACAGGAAGGCAGGACTTGTTTCTCTCAGGACTTCGCTGGGTGCAGAAGAACAGAGAATGCTTCTCCTGTGCATGTCTGTGGGAGAGTTTAAGTTCATGGTTTGGGTTTTAAAACTGCAATTTGAGGCCATTAGAGAGAGATTGGGCTACTGACATGCATGGGGAAGCAGTGCATTAACCTATTTTTTTCCTGTAAAGACCGGTAAAAGCCAGTGTGATTTTTGCAGAATGAGGTTGTTACCGCCGGTAATCGGCGAGCGCTGCACTGGAAGCTCTGAAATCAACCAGAACAGGTCAGAGAGGCTCCGTGCTGGCTCTTGGATGGAAATAAATTTGCCTAGCATTTGCAGTGGTCAGATGGGGCAACACTCAACCCCATTTCATAGATGAGCAAGATGAGGCTCAGTGGGTTTACAAGGCTGGACCAAGTGTCAAAGGGCAGAAAGTGGTAGGGCCAATGACTCCAGTCTTACCTGCCACGTCTACCAGGCACACTGCAGTCCAGGATGCAATTAGTGACCATGCGACCTTTAGTTTCCTCATTAAGGAACCCTGCCTCACAGGGCAGGGGGAAAACTTATGAGGACCATGGTGCCTAACCCAGTGCCTATAGCGTGGCGTAACCAAGGGGACAGAAAGTGTCCCCTAGACTTCTGCCTTTGGATCATTCAGCTTCCTCACCAGGAAGTAGACATACAGAAGTGCCCATCCCTTGGGGAAACTCTGAGCATAATTAATCTAATTATTCAGAGTGCTTTGAACTCTTTGGGGTTAAGGTTTATCGTGATGATCATCATCATTTGAATGTGGATATAATTACCATACCACATATTTTGTCCAGAAACCATGCCTTTAAAAACCATTAGTAGTAATTTTACTAATTAGATATTCCCATCCCGGTGGGCACATGGCCAGAAGACTGGAAGTCAGCCCAGGAGGCCCTTGGGATACAGGCTGGCAGGCCCTGCACCCCAAGTCTCTGAGCACCCCCACATGTAACAGGGACAAATGGACCTGGAGGTCTCTGGCTCTGTGAGTAGCACAGTGACAGACCTCAGAACCAGAGAGAGGTCCCTTCACAAATAGCTCTACCCGAGCTGTTAACAGCAAGGGTGGCTGCATTCTCAGGAGGCCCAGTGGCCCCTCCTACCTGACTGGTGACCACCTGCCACTTACTCCCTCCCAGGTCACTGTCCCCAAAAAGCCCACATCCAGCTCTGTGCAGAGCATGTGTTTATTGAATGCTGCCTGCATCCTAGGGTTTGGAAAGTTAAGAAGGATGGTAGGCATCCTGCTTGCCTTTCCTTGAGGGGCTTATGCCTGTGACTAGGGGTTAACAGCTGGCCCTTTGGAGTGGGGGTGGGATTGGAGATACAGAGGCAGGAAGACACCACGGAACCTGCGAGGTGGATTTGATGGGCCACTGAGGGCCACTTCTGTCTTCGAGGGACTCTGAAGCTCTATGAGGCAGGAGGCATGGCTCTTACACAGGAGCCCTCATTTTTAGTCCCAGCAGGGAAAAGGGTCTATGCCTGACCCTGCTCTGCAGGTGTCTAACACAAGAAGGCAGGAGATAGCCCCGAGGAGAGAGCTAAGACTGTCTGCACGCACATACGTCCGGTGCAAGATCCTAAGGAGTCCAGGCGTTGGAGACTGGCCTTTGGCTGTCTGCTCCTTAGCCATCAAATGGAAGCACTGGTCTCCAAGGTCCCTGGTGCTGAGTGTGTACTGTGGATGCCCAGGAAGACCTCCGGTCACGAAGTGAGCAGACTCTGAGTTCAGGCGTGAGGCCGTCTTCCCGCTGCCACACCTCTTCTCCTCTAGGTCCTCTTTTATTTTTTTCCTTTATTTGGCCCCTCTTGGTAATGCTGGTCTTATGAACTGTTTGCTCTAAAGTCTGCAGATCTAATATGCATGCCTATGTTACAGATCTCCCAAGAATCCACAGGGCCAACATCCACCCCCTCACCTTGGCTGAAGTGGGGAAGGATGGGCGAGCCTGGCCAGCGGGCCATTCTGAGCAGTCTGTGCTGACCATAGTGAGAGGCCGGATGGGGCTCAGCCCTTTATCAGCTGAGCAGTCACACCTCTCTGGCGAGCAGCTGCCTCTGGGAATTCTACAACTTATTTTAGGTAACAAGTCCCAAGACCGACCCTGTTTCGTAGCTGACCGCATGTCAGGCTCTTTCCCATGCAGGTCTGACTCGAGCCAAGCCCACTTCCTCTGGAGTCTCTGAGTCATTTGGTTCTAAGTCGATGGATGACTTGGGGCCATCACGGCACAGCCCCCTCGGGGAGATGGGGCCTTTCCTGACAAGACTTTGAGTGGCTGAGGAATCTGAGTCAAGGCAGTGGAAGAATGGTTGCGTCCAAACCAACCACAGACTCCTGGGCTGGAGGAAGGCAGAGCCCCAGCCTTACACTGTCACCGCTGGTGCCACCAGAGTGGCGGTTTGGAAGAACCAGCAGACCCACTCCGGCATGGCCTGGTTTGGGATCATAGGCTGATGCCAGGGTTCTGCGGGCACAGCTTTGCCATGGTGTACTTTATTACCCCACTCGGATCTAAACGAAGACAATCCGTGCCGGCATGGTGCTGCCACTGGGGCCCCATTCTGTTTACTCCCGAGTCTCTTAGGAAGGGAAAGGCTAGAAACTGCGCCCTAATGGCCCAATTAGTGCTAATGCTGCGTAGTGTTGACTGTTTAGTTACCAACATATTGTGTACAGAACTAATTGTGGTGAAAGCAAATGAATGGCCACGAAACAAACAGGCTACTAGAAAATAATTACTTGGAGTGTTTCTCTTTAGTACCTGCACAGCGGATTTCATTATAGTCAACAGCCTCTAAGCTGCTCGAAATAGTGGTATTTGTCATTTTCATAGAAACTTGATAATGACATTAATTTATCTTAATGGCCTGTTCTATTGTTATAAATAGTAAAATTAGCTTAAATTGTCTTGCTTTTGCTGGTTTTGGATGGCTGCAGAGAGCCCTGAGCAGCCGACAAGTAGATAATTTGGTGTGCTTGACAGATTTCCAATAATTTGTTATGTGGAACATGAGTAATGCTAGTACCATTAATGTTCATTTTCCTCTAAATTCATTACTGCCCTTTTCCCTTTTATCTTTTTTAATGTCCGGGCCATTTTTCTATATTTCAAGAGGAGCCACAGAGCCTATTCACAGTCAGCCGGCTATTAACATTCTGTACATAGCGAACATCCTGTGGAAAAACAAGTCTTTATGAACTGAGAAGCCCGGTCCCTTGTATCGGACAGAAAAGCAGGCAAAATGGGGGGCTTGCGGGTTTCGGGGGAGGGATAATTAAGTCAAATGCAATTGTAAAGAAATTTAAATGTTTTCATTTATGGCAAAGGTAAAACACACTCAGGAGAGAATCTAAGAAGCGGCAAATTCATTAGCAACACTAATTCCTCGCCTTCCCTCTCCCCCCGCAGTCACCTCGCACAGCACTGCAGAGGGTTATTATTGCGTGTTCTCTATACATTCGATTCTAATTAATCACTAAAAATGTGACGATTGATTTCGTTTCTGTAAGCAGATATGTTAGCAGAACACCTGGAACAGCAGAAGGGCTCTTTTTCCTAGGTGGGGGTGGTGGTGGTGGTGGTGGTGGCGGGGACCCCAGAACTTAGTATATTTGCTTTTAGTTCCAAATCCTTTCCTTTCATCAGCGACTAGGTTAGATCATGAAATCAGTTGCTTTAGTCTTTTAGCATTTTCTATGTGTGTTTTCTTTTTTGTTGCTACCAAATAATAAAAAGTCTGATTAGAGCTTTTATCATTTTTATAATGCACGTGTTTGGGGCTTACAAACATGAAAAAAACTGTGAAATATTTATCCTGTAAAAGAAATGACCATTTCCATTCAAAACCAGTTTCTGCTGCACGTGAAGGCTAAGACAGGAGGAGTGCTAAGGATTCGAGTTCAGCCTGGGCTACAAAGTGAGTTCAAGGTCAGCCTGGGCTATGGAGCAAGACGTGGTCTCAGGAAACCAAAGAAAGAAACTGAGAGGGATACGGCACACCTCTATAAGCCCAGCATTCTGGGAGGCTGAAGCAGGAAGATGGCAAGTTGGAGCCCATCTTGGGTAACTTAGGGATACAGCTCTGAGTAAAGGCCTTGGCTTCAGGTCCCCAATACTAGACAGACAGACAGACACACACACAATTTTCATCTGTTTACAATTTAGGCAGAATGATGTTGATAGCTCAGTGCTTCCAGAACTAATTCTTAGACTGAATCCTTCTCCTCTAACACCACAGGTTAAAACACCCTAGGGGAAAAATTTTTTAAAAATGCAAGCATATTGAAGGAGAAATAGGCTATTGTATTATAAACTGTGTCTCCTTTAAAAGTCAAAAGAAAGACTGACTTTCTACGATGCTTTGTTCTTTAGATGAGTAAAGGTTTCCCTTCTAGAATGCTTCAAACTCTTCCTAGTGTTGTGTTTCCTGAGTGCACAGAGAGGAAGATACACTGATTTTTTGTAAGTAGGATCTGGACCCTTGGTTAAATAAAAAAAAAAAAAAATCCCTGGATAATGACTTTCACACTGGAATAGAAAATCAACATTTAAAGAACTTTTCCTTTTCATGTGATGAAATTACTTCTTTTTTTCCATAGATACAAACAGACTTTAAAAGCATCTCATTCAATAAAATCCCCCAAATGTACTCCTGAGTGTCGGCCCAGGCTCTTCAAGCCTGAGGAGGGATGAACGGTAATGTACTAACAAGGTAATGTATCAGAGGGCCAATTCATAAAATATTTATCTTAAAGCATAAAATGTGTCTGTCTGCCTTGTTCATTTATAAAATAACAGTTTAGTAGAATTAGGTAGCAGCTAAATCCTTTAGTCTACATAGCTGGCTTCACCCAGAGTCCATTAGACTCGGTTATGTATCCGCTAAGGAAGATGCAGCTTGTGAGGGGAGCATAATGGATCATGAAAGATAAATGGAATTAGGCAATTGAATAATTAGAGTAGTGCCCACCAGAGCTACTCTAAGTAAAGGGCTGCCGGGATTTCCATTAGAAAACTCCATCCCCGTGGTTAGAAACCCATCTGTGAACATCTGGCTGGGGTTGCAAGAGATAGCACTGAGGGGAAGGAATCTCCCCAGGAGGCCCTTCCTCCTCAATGGCCAGCGCTGGGTGACTTAGGGACCATGACACCAGGGACCAAGTCCCTTTGCTGACTAATTCTCACAAACATCAAGTTCCCCAAGCACCAAAGCACCAGACTGGATGGGATTTTCTGAGGTGGGAAATGTCTGCTCTGCCCTTTTGTGCTCAGGCCTGGGGCATTGAGACATGGTTTAGGGACAGGCTGTGATGAGCACTGTGGACATAGGATTACACAACTGTGTCCTTCCCCTCTCCAAGGCCACCTTTGGATAGATTTTTAAATTAGCGTTCTGGTTTTAAAACACTTGTGAATATCATTTCTTTATTCACTGTTTTCTGTTTATCCCTGTGTATTAGGCAAGCATATGGTCACGTGCCCACATCTCTTTGGGAATCCACTGATTGTCTTCAGTAGTGTCCTGTTTGTTGAGGGGCACAGCAGACCCCATGGGCTGGAGGTGGAAACACGAGAGGCGAGGCCCAGTGGGAAGTCTTTAGGTGGCTGTGGACCACAAAGCACTGTGGGGTCTCCATCTCTTTCTCTTTTTCCCTTCCTGGTCCTGAGGCAAGTGGCTGGCTCCACCCTATGTTCCCACCATGATGTGCCATCTTAGGCATAAAACCACCCTGGGCCAATTACTCATGGACTGGACTCCCCCCAAACTATAAGCCAAAGTAAACCTTTCCACTTTATAAGTTGAAGGTCTCAGATACTTGCTATGTGTAAACAGGCCAGGCTGTAAATAAAGGGTTTTCCTGTATCCCAGGCCTCCAACCAAGCAGACTTGTGTATTAGTAGCTGGAAGGGCTTGTGCTGGAGGTATAGAACTGCTGTCTAATGAATCATATGGACAAGGATGGAGAGTAAACAAAGAGTGGAGCATGGCACGTTATTTGGCCTTGGAAAGGGAGAGAAATCTGACATTGTGGGTGAAGTTTAAGGGCATTGTGCTAAGAAAGAAGGCAGTCACAGAAAAACAGGTATTACATGCTTTCACTTACATGAGTAAGTCAGCCTCCCAACACATAGCAAATATCTGAGACCATCAACTTATAAAGCAGAAAGGTTTACTTTGGCTTATAGTTTGGGGGAGTCCAGTCCATGGGTAATTGGCCCAGGGTGGTTTTAGGCCTAAGATGGCACATCATGGTGGGAACACAGGGTGGAGCCAGCCACTTGCCTCAGGACCAGGAAGGGAAAAAGAGAAAGAGATGGAGACCCCACAGTGCTTTGTGGCCCACAGCCACCTAAAGACGTCCCGCTGGGCCTCGCCTCTTGTGTTTCCACCACCAAACTCTCCTAGGCTGGGGACCAACGTTTTACTGCATGCACTTTTGGGAACACTTAAGATCCAAACTACAGCAGTGAAGCAGGTTGAGTAGTTGAGTTCATAGAGAAGGAAGGTGCAACACTGGTTGTAAGGGGCTGGAAGGAGGAGACATGGAGAATTAATTTTTCATGGGCATGGAGCTTTAGTTTTGCAAGATGAAAAGGTTCTGGAGATCAATCGTAACGAGGGCTGCGCAGTCATTTGTGCTGCACTTAATACTGCCGACTGCGTATTTAAAAAGAAAAACTTTCTTGCAATAGGTAGGAAGGTAAATTTTATTTCACTTGCATTAAAAAGAATAATAATTGAAATATATATATAAACTGGAGTTGGCTCCCTGAAAGCAGATCCTTAGCAGTGGAAGTAATCAGCACAATAAATCATGTCATGCATCTACAAATTGTAGTGCTCAAAACCACTAACAAAAACTTAATTATACACATTTCTTATCTCCCGATATGTAATAAAGAGAATCATATTTGCCGCTTCCCTAAGTTACTAAGTCAGAAGCCAAGAGATGGAGAGGGGAAGGAGAAGAGGGGACGGGGAAGTAAAAAGAATTAAGATGTGTTATTTTAATGTTCCAGCTCCCCACAAGGACCTAATGACTGTGTATTGCAAACGTGGACTAAAAAAATTAAACAGTCAGCAGGATGACTATATCTTTTACAATTTTCTCTGTGTGTGTGTGTGTGATGATGATGATGATGATACTATGCGAGAGAAAGGAGAATACAAGACTGAAAATGTAGAATAATCTTGTTCACAACATTAGCAATGTTCATGGCATAATGCTAACACTTCAAAACACAATGCTAGCAAAATTAGCAGGTAGTAGTGTCTTTGTGTTAACCATTCTAACCATGATGTTATTTAATATTCGTAGCAAGCCATGAGGTAAAATGACTCTAATTTCCCTGGGGAGAAAATTGAGGTTGATGGAAACAAAGGAAGCTATTTCTGGAAGCAGACGTTCTTCAGAGGATATGGAATTGGTGTTTCTGGATAAATTCTTACAGTTTTCCAAACAGAGGAGAGCAGAGTATTCTCTTTAGATCCAGCTTGACAGATCTTATGGAACACGACAGATGGGCCACCTCTGGTCACATGCCCTTTCCTGCAGCAAGCACCATGGTTAGGGCAGGCAACGATATATGACCAGCCCAGTGAGAGCCAAAGCCCTAATATCAAGCATTCTTGTCTTATTCTTGATTTTTTAGGGAAATGCATCTGATGTATCATCATTAAAATGATGGATTTTGGGGTGACCCACTAGGAACTCCATCTGTCTCTCTCAGACAGAAGTTTTCTTTCCCTAATAAATATATTCTGCCCTGCCTCTTTAAAAAAAAGATCGATATTTAAGAAAATCCAAAATGTTTTAGTCAACACTATATGCAAGGTCTAGAGCAGTAAGAAAAGAAAAATAAGATATACATGTTTTGGAAATGAAGAAATTCATCTGTCATATATAAAAGTCCTAGCACGTTAGGAGGCTGAGGCAGGAGGATCACTGTAAGTTCAGCCAGGGCTACATAGTAAGACCATCTCTAAAATAAAACAAAACTCACCAAAGAAACCCGACAAACTGAGCTTCTGGGAATGTACCCAGGCCCTCTCTCTCCAGACAGTGTGTGCCCCTTCCTTCCATCTGAGATGGCCCCCACCACCTGTCTTGTGTTTTTCTCAAAGAAGCGTCTTGTAGACTGTGGACTGGAATTAGTCTCCTGCTGAGGCTCCTTATGCGTGTGCAGCTCCTGGGCTCCTGTTGGCTCCAGGGAGAAAGTCTCCTCTTGCTCACCATGGTGTCCTCAGCAAAGTACAGCAGGGACCTAACCAATACTGCAGGATTATCAGCACACGTGTCCTGAGTAAACTGCCCAGGAGGGAGGATGCACCAGTACTCGGAGGGAAGGAGCCGCACCTTACAGGTGGAGGTGGCCTGGAACTCAGGCCCTATCCACAACTGTGAGCACCTGGCTCAGGGCCTGTCCTGGGGGCCGGGTCTCCCCAAGGCAGTGCTGGGAGCAAATGACTCTACCCCTGCACCATCCCACTCCCCAGCGCCTCCCCACGAGGCAGGGGGCATCCTGCTCTTTCCTAGTTGTAGAAAGGGGCAGCAAGGTCATTTTCACAGCTGACTTCCTGTTTCTAAGCAGCTCTGCTTCCTCCGGGAAGGACTATTGGGCACCTTGAGCTAAATCCATTCTGCTCCAGCTCTGGGATCAGTGTCTCCTTTATTATTCTGGGCAGCCTCCATGTCCTCAAGGCGAAAGCCCAGGGAACAAGGCCCACATGGTGTGGAAATCCATGTGGCCAGTGAGGATGTAGATAAATACATGTGGAAAGTAAAGAAACTCAGCTCTGAGTCTGCAAAAATAAGAGCGGGTTGGCTGTGACGGCGCCTTGAGTCACAGACTTTATCACTGGTTGAGACTGTGAGATGGAGGTTAATGAAGAATGCCAACACTCAGCCCTGTTCCCGAAGCCTGGGGGGGGGGGAGGGTCAGCAGCCCCATGCTGACAGCCACATGTCACCTGGCAACTCGTCCCCCCCGACTTGCCTCCCTAGGAAAGTACCGTTCCTCCCCATGTGCACTATTTTTATTTTTATAATTTCTTTAAATATGATATGAAATTAATCTACACAATAAAGAAAACTAAAAAAAAATCTTCTTCAGCATCGGAGATTGAAAGCAGGGCCTTTTCACAGGGCTCTGTCCCCATCCCTTTTAAAAATTTGAAACAGGGTCTCACGAAGGTGCTGAGTTGACCCCTAGGTTTGGCTTGAATTTCCAGCCCTCCTGCCTCAGCCTACCACGGTGCTGGGATAACAGCCAAGTGTCACCATGCTGGGCTAGAAAGAAATTTCTCTTTTAAATTTGGTGCTACAAGAAGTAAGAGGTGGCCAAACACTTCAGGTGACTTCTCCAGGAAGTTGCTGATCTCTGAATGGGTCCTCTGAGCCTCTCTGACATAATGGGCTGTCCAGGGAGCTCAGAAGTGGCAGAATATGGTTTAGATGTGCTGCATTCTACCACAGGGCGGTCAGGCCTGATGCTCTGGCCGAGGAGCAGACACAGGATGCAGAGGAATATGCCAGCATCTGTCTTGATTCCCTGAGTGTGGGGGTCTCCTCCACCAGGAGAGAGAGCATCACACAGTCAGAAGGAAGCTGCTGCTGCTACTGCTCCCAGGCAAGGCCATCGAGCCCTGTGACACAGGGAGCCCCAGGACTTTTGGTTGGATCACCCCTCTATATAAATTCTCAGATGTATTTTAAGTTTTAAAACCTGAAAGACAATTAAGGAGTATGATATTTTATGACATTATAAATGCAGACAATCGGGCTGGAAATACAGATAGCTCAGTGGTCGAGCACTTACTCAGCATTGTAGGGTCTGGAATTCAATCCCCATTACTGCTAAGACACAGAACAAAACAAACAAGCAAAACAAAACATAAAAAAGTGAACAACTTATTGAGATATAGCATGTATAAATATAAATATAGGTCATAAATGTCCATCACAAAGTGAATACAGCTATGAAGCCACCAGCAGGGCCAAGAAACAAAGGATTACAGAGCCCTGAACCTACAGGCTCCCTTCCAGTCTATTCTTTAAAGTTTTAGCAGAGTAAAATGAGTGAGAAAAAGAATTAGGATGCTCTGACCGGCAGGCCAGCTGCTCATCATATACCGGGATGCCACCACAACATCTGTTCTCCCAGGAGCCTCTGATCTGTGGGACCACTTTGTCATAAATAAGCCCGGGAGGCGCTGTGTGTAAGACACCTCCCATCCAGAGTCAGAGGGCACCAGGACAGCCCAGTGCCCTGTGGAGACCTTATCCAACCCCATCATCTCCCAGATGCCAAAATTATCCTGTGAAAATCAGTGTGGATGATGATTTCCGATGTGCAGCTTTTTCAGGATGCTGTTCCCTGAAAGTAAATGGGGAAAGCTGGTGAATGAATTCTAATATACGTTCTTATTTATTTGTTGGTCTTTTTCCCTCTTACTCCATTATTAGCTGTGGAGTCAAGGTTTGTAAAGCTGTCTTTTAGTGTTCCTATTTGAATGAACTTGCAGAAAAAGTGGTGGCCTGGTATCTATGTTTTCCACTGACCCGATATGAATCAGAGATTACCTAAGGACAAATTTCTGGAATCTTCTTTCCCAAGTTCCCGCCAGATCTTTGTATATCCATCCTACCCTGAGGCAGGATGTGGGTGGGAAAGGCAGTGTTTTCCCTGTCTCTGATGCCCAGCACAAATGCCTGCTCTCTCTTGATTTTAGGATTGGTGGTTCAGTCTGCCAACGGTTCCAGAAAGCTTCTAAGAAAGGCTCTAATCAGCCATCTCCCTGCAGGCTGGCAACACAGTAGCCCTCATCGTGCAGGTCCTCCCTTCATCATGGAGCACAGTTCACAGCTCAGCTCTGTCTTCTGTTTAGCTTACTTTTCCCAAAGCTTTGTGCCCAAACCTCTCCGCCCCTGCAGTGCCATCTGCCTGCTTTCCGTTTTCATTCTTGTGGTTTTCATATTCCTAGTAATCCCCAGCTGGACTAACTCAGGGCTACTGGAAATGGAATTCTCACTATTGGCAGAGAACCAGTCAACAGGGGCTTGAATTTCGCCTAGAGGTAAAACAACAATCTCTTCTCCTTCTCCAGAGCAAGCTGGCCTGAGCCTCTTGCTTCTATGCTGGGCTCTTGCTGGGCTGGGGTCACGACACTCACCGGTTAACAGCTCTAGGATGTCAGTTTGGTGTGTGCCAGGACCTTCGTCTCCAACTCCCTGGCAGGCATCAGAAGGCTGCCTTAGAGTGGAGCTCTGCCAGTGCGGCAGTCCTCGGCCATGGTCAGCAGCACAAGCTTAGCAGCTGCAGAGGCAGGAGGCTGCTAGAGGAGCGGGTGCTTGCCAGGGCTCTGCGCTGGCTTGCTGATGACTAGAGTTATGCATTACACAAGGAACAGGAACAGAGAACCGTGTAGGAGCGTAAAATAATCCATCATACCTGGACGCATTCTTCTAGTTTACAAAGCATATCACAATCCTCACCCCATTGTAGCTGGTGTTTCCTTTTACTCTGTGACTGGAGAGGCTGCTCCCACTGTGAAGAGGAGACCCAGGGTCAGAGAGGGAAATGCGCTGCCCCAGGGCACAACTTGTAGGCATGAACCGTGTATTGGACTGAGAGTTTCTGACTCCAGTTCTCAGGCTGTTTTTCTTTCCCCAGTGGGGAAAAAGTCAAAGAAATCTGAATTCCTGCCGCTTAGATCACTGGCTCCCTTGGAGTTCATCCCAGCTCTGCTTCTGCTGCCTCCTCAGGAGACCCTCCAGGCATTGCTGTGTGGCTGAAGGAAATGCCAGGCCAGCAGGGGCTCAGGAATGCCACAGGAATGAGCGCCCTTGGGCTCCTTTCCCCCCCAGGAGTTAACTTTTGTGGCCACCAACCATATTTGTGGATATACTTGAGCTTTACTGTTTGTCTGTTTTGTTTTGTTGAAATCCTAGAGATTGAGGGTATGGTGCAAGCTAGGCAAGTGTTCTTGCACTGGAGCAATCCTACCTCTTTTTCTATTTTTGTTATTTTATTTTTAATTTTGAGAGGGTATCACAAAACTGCTACATTACTCAGGTCAGATTTGAACTTGTGATCCTCCTGCCTCAGCCTCCCAGAATGCTGGAATGGCAGACATGGACTACCATGGGCAGCTTTGGGCCTTAAGGTTGGAGAAAAATCCCCGGGGCTTCCTTCTGGAGGTGCCTGGGATGTGTGGGTGAATTGATTCCCCACACAATTTTCAAGCAGAAAGGAGCTGGAGATGTCCCCAGAGACAGCTGTGTGCATCTTTTTTCAGTGCTGCGCTCAGTGCCACTGTGCTCAGATGGAGTCAGCCACCAGGGAAGGAGTGTTCACGCCATGGGAATCACCAGGGTTCCCTTCTCCAGCCCACGCCAGAGCAGTCACTGGCACTTTCTATCCGGGACTCAGAAATACACTAGTGGGATGGCACACAGGTGACCAGCTGGCTGAGGCCAAGAAACCAGGCCTTGGTTTAGTGTAAAAAACCTCTCTATGGCACTGTGCCTATCTGTATGTGTGGAGGGCAGCATTCTTGGGGTTCTCTGCAGCATAGTGACAGGACAAGTGTCCTTCTTACAAGCGAGGGTGCTTTGCAGACTGTCACAAGACTCTTTCTCTACTGAGGCTGATAGGGGCTTTTTGGCCACTCAGAGTCCCCAGGCTCGGGAGTGAGACTGTCAGCCTCTGGAATGACCCGAAGGCCTTGTTTAGGACTGTCACCTGCTAACACTGACCAGGCAGCGGAGCAGCTGATCCCCACTCCCAAAAAGATCTGTTGCACTTTGCTGTGGTTTGACTCTGTCCTAACCCTCAGGATGAAGTGCAGCTGCCATTTGCACAGCATTCAGAGATGGAGGCTCTAAGGGGTGCTGAGCCACTGGCTCTGCCCCCTGGGAATGGCATTTTAAAGTGCTGATGTCCTTCCTTTTGTCTCCTGGCCCATCTGCCTTTCCTGGGTAAAGGTCTACGAACTCCTGCCCTCCAAGGGACAATCATCTCCAAATGACACTTGCCCAACTAGCCATGGCCTTGACACTGAACTTCCCAGCCCCCAGGACCGTGAGCTCATGCACTTTGGACCTTTCTGGATCGCTCTGTGTGGCAGTCTGTCACAGCCACGCACCACAGCCCGTCAGCCTCCCTGTCACGTGGCTCTCCCTGGTCTCTGGCTCCTGGGCACCTGCCAGATCTCCTGCTCCTGGGTAAGGAAACTGAAGCTCAGAGAGAGGAAGAGGCTCCTGGTGGCTGGGTCCCTGATTATACCCTTGGTTCTGTGTCACCCTGCAGGTCCTTCTCCTGCCCGCTCCTGAGTAGCAATGGAGATAATGTGTCAGTCACCAGGCTATCAGGGAAAGAGCGAAGTGGGGGACAGGATGTCCTCGTCTGAGCACACACCAGCACTGGAAGGGCACCTTACATGTCACCCGAGGCACACGCTCAGAGAGGTTAAGGGATTTGTCCAAGCCCACACAGGTCTCCAGGAGCCCGGAGAATGTGATGCAAGAGGTGGGGCCGGAAGACCTAACAGCACCAGCCCAAGAAACTCAGAAGGGACCTTAGAGGTCACCTCGCTCACTTCTCTGCCAGCACCAGAGCCCTTCTTGATGCCCTGCTGACCTCTCCACGGAACCTGGCGGAGAGGCTGGCCACCTGCAATGCCTGGAATCATTAAGAGCTGTCCCCCAACTCCAGCCCCTATCTTATTCTCTTCAGTTTCCAGCATAAGCACCTGCCAGGTCAGCGTCACCCCTCTGAAGTGGTGTAGAAAAGGCCAGCTCTCCTCTCCATGGCAGTCTCCCATACCTGAGTATGTGATCCAAGTCGTTCCAGGTCAAAAGTGCGCTGTTTTGCAGTCTTGCCTAAGGACGAGCCTTGCAGATCTCCCCTTGGACACTGTCCAGGTTTCCACATCCGCCTTTAAGAACATCCACAGGACCTGGACATGACATTGAGAACAAAGGACGGTGGGGACACTCCCTTCCTTCACGGAGCCACTGTGTTCTGCTGGCACGAACACCGCTGACTACTTGGTGGCAGTCACGTTACATACTGGTGTCCAGGGGGCTGCAGCTGCCGAGGGTTTCCGGCCTTTCCTCCATTTCGTGTTTACATGATTTGTTGTTCAAACCTATGTGAGACCCTTTGATTTTTAAGAGTTCAATCTTTCAGTTTATTAAGGTTTTTTTTCAGTCCTGACATTGGTTATCTAACCCTTTAATGCTTTCTCCTAGCCCTGTGCCATTATGAAGTACAAATCTGCTTAGGACAACCCCAGGGCGGGAGCTCTGGCTCAGGGCATCCTGCAGGCTCCCCTCAGCCGAGGCAGAGCGTTGGGAATTAGCTACTCCTCAACCATGTCTCAGCTCTTCATGGAGTAACACCCAGTCCACGTCTCTCGGATTTATTTGTCAGAGTCCACATGGACCAGAGAGATGGGCTGTCACGCCTCTGCCTCTTCACCCCGGCTCGGACCAACTGGGAGTGTCAGGCCAGCTCACACATTCGCCCTGTGCCCGTACCCCCGCTAGTCAGGTTTCAGGGATGTTCCTAATCTCTGACCCCAAAGTTCCCAGCATCTTCTGTTGTGCTGGTGTTTCTGTGTCACTCACCCTCGTAGGATGACATGCATGAGTGACGTGGTGGGTGAATGCATGAGAGAAGATGCAACCTCCAGTGTCACAAGGAAGACGCCTTCCAAGGACTGAGCTTTGGACAGGAAATGGTTGGAGTTTTGTGTCTCAGCATCACGTACATGCTTTCCATCCTCAATCCTCCTACGATTGTCTCAGCCGCTAGTGCCTTGGCTAATCTAATCTTGAAATTCCTCTCTGTGCCTATAGACCTTACTTGATGGGAAAGAGTTAAATTAAATGTCCCAAGCAAAAGTATTCTTAAAGTTCCTTTCCAGCTGCACACTATGGAACCATACACAGGGACTTAGGAGCAGGAAAGAAAGGTAACCTTGGTGGGGATGCAGGTGGGGAGGGTGGAGCACCCCTTCCCTGAGTCTGTAAGCTGCACCCCAGTGGGAAGGCTGCTGGGCTAACAGGCCATGAGTATATTCAGCAAGATACTTCACCTATGATAACTTTGTAAGGCTGTTTGTTGCGAGGATGAAATAAGACATAAGTTTCCATGGGGAAGATCCTCTAACATCCTTCCTGTGCACGGGTTCTGTGTGGCACTACCTTCTCTTTAAACACATGCTGGATATTTCTTTCCATTTGACTTTACTTCTGAGACATGACATAAGTAATGCAGGCTCATGGAGGAGTAACCAAAATCACCCTAATAACCAAATGGAACCGCTTAAATTATAACTTTGAAATGTCTTACCAGCTTTCTTCCATGTGTAATTGCACGTACACTCATAAACATACTCTTCTTAAGAACACGTGTGCAACTCAAGCACACATGTGTATTCCTTTTCCTTATCACATAAGCATATATGCATGTGTATAAATACATTTCTATATTTTTAAATGTTTTATTGTGATAAAATACACATGCCACTAAATGAACCATTTTAAACAATTTTAGCCTGTAGTTCCATGGGAATGAAATACACGGTCACTGTTGTACAGCTGTCACCACCGTAGGGCTCCAGAGCTTTGCATTTTCCCAAAATGAAATTCTTTATCCACTAAACAATAACCTGCCATGCTGCCAGCCCTATCGATCACTGTTCTACCTTCTGTCTCTATGACTCTATTTTGTGTACCTCATATCAACAGAATCAAGTAGTATTTGTCTTCCTGGGGCCGATTTTATAAAGTGGTAGCATGTGTCAGAATTTCCTTCCTCGGAAAGGCTGAGTAACATGGCATGTATTTATACACCACATTTTTGTTTATCCATTTTCCTATGATGGACCCCTGAGACATTTTCACCTTTGGCTGTTGTGAATAACACTACTGTGAACATGGATGTGCAGGTATCTGAGACCCAAGTCCTTGCTTCCAAGCTTTTAGGGACATTGTTTTAAGTGTGGTTTCTAGATCATAAGCTAATTCTGTTTTCACTTCTTTGAGGAACAACATATCGCTTCCCCTAGTGGTTGTACAATTTTAGATTTTCACCAGTCATGCCCAAGTGTTCCAGTTTCTCTACACTGTCCCCCATACTTATTTTTTTAAGTAGTAACTACCCTGATGAGCGAAAAGTGGTGTTTTGTTTTTATTCGTACTTCTGTAATGATTAGTGATGTTGGGCCTATCTTCACATGCTTTATAATGACCTGCGTATCCTTCCAGGACACGCATCTGTCTAAGTTCTTTGCCCACTTTTTTCATTGAATCTTTGTCACTATTGCTGTAATGACTTATGGAATTTCCTTGTGGATTCTGATATTAACCGCTTATCAGAATAGGAGTTGTATCAAACAAAATACAGAACTTGTAAATATATTTTCTCCGTCCTGTGTGGTGCTATTGTACTCTCTTGCTAGTGTACTGACACAGTTTTCATTTTGATGGTCAACTTGTTTTTTCTGTCATGTATGTTTTTGTTATAGCCAAGAAATCACTGCCATGGACATCTCTCCTTGCTTTCATCTACGAATTTTGCAGTTTTAGCTATATACAAATGTTTAGATTTTTGATCCCTTTTGAGGTAACATTGCTGTGTGGCATAAGGTAATTATCCAGCTTCTTCTTTTCATGTAATGTCTCATTTTCCCAGTATCATCTATCAGACTTCTTTTCCCATTGAATGGTCTTAATGCTCGCTGAAAATCAATGGACTGGATATATGTAATGGTTTATTTCCATGCTGTTTGCTCTACTCCAATGGACAGTATCACACTGTTTTGATTATTATGGCTTTGTAAAAAGCTCGAAATCAAGGAATATGAGATCTTCAACTTTGTCTCTCCCACCTCTTTTTCAAGATATTTATGGTTAATTTGGTTCCCTTTTGGTTTCGTATTGTCTTTGGTTACTTTTCTTTCATTGCCTGGACGAAATACCCATACCTGACACCCAAATTTAAAAAACAGAAAGGTTTATTTAGCTCACAGTTTGCAGAGGTTTCAGTCTGTAATCAGCTGGGTCCAAAAGAAGGGCGGCATGGCAGAGGGGCAACAGTTCATGAGGCTGAAGACACCAAAAGCAGCAAGAGTAAAAAAGGGGGAGAACAAGCTTCTTTTCCTCCATTATTTTGTAAACAGGCTGCACCCCCTTGGGCAGGTGCAGCACCTCCATTCCCTCCTCTTGCACAGGCTCAGGATGTTTATAAAGTGAGGACTCTGGCCCCCTGCTGAGTCAGTTAAACTTGTAAACTTTTTTTCCTTTTTCTTTTTTTTTTTTTTTGGAGAGTACTGGGAATAGAACTCAGGGCCTTGTACTTTCCAGGCAGGCAGCCTGCTGCGAAGCTACATTCCCAGCCCTAAACTGCTCAGGTTGACACAATGACTCAACCATTGCAACATCCTAGAGTGTAAACAGACTCCCTAGGGCATGTTCGCTACTTGCGGGGGAGGGGGGAATAGAACTGTTGAATTACTTAGCTAAGCTTCTAAACTTCACAAGTTGACAAATGTACCGACCACTACACCTATGAATTTTTGAATGCTTTTTTTTTTTTTTTTTTTTTTTGTAAAAAATGGAACTGGGGCTTTGGTAGAGACTGCCCTGAATCTGTAGATTGGTTTTGGTATTATTAACATTTTAACAATATTGTTTTCCATTCTTTGACTATGGCTGTTTTTTCATTTATTTATGGCTTCTTTAACTGCTTGCAGCAATTCTTCATAGATCTTAGTTCACAAGTCTTTCACATCCTCCATTAACTTTATTTCAAAGTATTTTTTTGTAGTTTTGTTTTGTCTACATTGCTGGGGATCAAACCAAAGGCCTTGCATGTACCTGCAAGTGCTCTCCAACACAGAGCTATCTCCCAGGCCCTTAAGTACTTTATTTTGTCTTTTTGAGTCAGGGTTTCATATGCAGTTCAGGCTAGACTTGCACTCCCTTTGTAGCGCAGGTGACCTTGAACTCACAGTAATCCCCCTGCCTCAGCTTCTCGATCACTGGGATTATAGGCAAGTATTTTATTCTTACAGCTATTGCAAATAAAATTGTTCTCTTAATTTCTCTTTTTGGATTATTCATCATTAGTGTTTAGAAATGTAATTGATTTTCATGTGCTTATTTTGGACTTTACAATTTTGCTTAATTCCGTTGCTGTTTTCATTGCTTTTTAGACTTTACCTTTATAAACTGAAAATATGGGTACCACAGACTACTCTAAATCATGTATTTTTCCCTTCTCTCTATAAATCCCAATCACTCAATAGTCCAAAGATTTCCCAGTCCATAATTAAACTTCCAGTGTCAGATGGCCAAGGGGCCAAGTTCCAGGAAGGTTCATCACTAATACTGGACTTTTGCACAGGAACTTCCATAAGGGTTTGCTTTCTTCCAGGTCTAGTGACTGGATTTCACTTTTATCTCTGTCCGTTACCAGGCTTGTGTCTATGCAGAATGCTTTACTTCATTGAATTTGAGCTTCTTCGCTGTCAATTAAGAACATCTATGTGTACCCTAAGATCTTTTGCTGACTACCATATGCTAGATTATTTACCCAAGTTCAATTTTCATCAGAGTTCATGTTGTCTAAGGTGTGGTTAAATCATTTGTTAAATAGCTCAGTTTTTATTCTAGAGAAACACCTATGGTAGAGTACATATGAAAAAGGTTTGCATTGTATGAATTATTTTCCCATTTAAAACCCAGAATCTCACTCAAATAGCTTTCCAACCCATACTGTACTGAAGTATCCTGTTTGTTCCATTAACTATTCACAGAGTCAACTGGGAATCCGTTGTTATTAATTTCAGTGGAAAGCTAAAATGCAATTCATTTTCTGTAATTGCAAGCCCACAGTCTAAAGAGCCAGTGAAAGCTTTTAATCTGAGACTTTTTTAGAGGAGTATGA